TAATATGCACCGAAATTTCCAGAGACAGGTCTCCATGACTGGGAACATATCCTAAAGCATAGTCCACATTTATCTCAATATTGACATCTGAGGGCTTAGCTATCTGTTTCTGTGCATGGCACAGTGTGATGCACCCACATCCTGAGTATGTCAGAAACTTGATAGAGCAGGCAGCTATGCTGGATATGAAATGGCAAAGGCATTGAGCTGAAGAATGAGAAAGAGGTTGAAGGCATCAAGGACAGGAACAAAAGTACTATGAATCCATTCTCATTTTATGGGTAAATTTTCCACTTGCTCTTCATGCAAGATTCAGAATGTAGTGTTGCCAACTAATAAAGCTCATACAAATTCCTCCATGTTCATACTGGTGTGAGCATGTGTTTCTACTATAACTGAATTAATGTTTTTAATATTGTTTTAATTACACATTAACTCAACATGTAATTCCCATGAAATCTCAGAAATTACTGCTGAATTTTAATGTAAATGAGAAATAAGGTCAAATTTCTGCCCTTGATAGTTATCGAGGAATAGTTTTACAGATTATCATTATCCCCTGAGCATGTATTCATAGTAGTCTTGACTCTACTACTCTGCCCAGGGATCAAAAGCCTATTACAAAATGCAATGGCATTAATCAGCTTCAGTCATAATCTGGAACATTCTACACCGGGTCGACTGTGAGGGAACTGTCTTAACTGTGTTAATTGTTGCTACAAGATGCATGTAAACTGAGCATTTACTGAGTTTAGGAAGATGGATTGTATAAGTGTGCAGAGGGGCTGATCACAAATAAGCATGCATGCATTCATTCTGTGTCTACTGTTAACTATGGATATGACTATGCGCTTCATGTTACTGCCTTGTTTTCCCACATTCATTGTACAACCTAGAATTATAGGACAAATATGCTCTTTCATCATTCAGTTTCTGTTAGCCACCACATTTTATGACAGCAATATGAATGAAATCAGAATACAGAATGTGCACTTGCACTGAAATACAATCAGGTCTCACAGTCCATGACTTACATACTTCATACAATTTTAAATTTCAGAAGCATGCCTGTTGCTTCAACTGTGTAAGTAGCACCCAACACCTAGATGTTCTAGAACAGTCAGATAAATGTAACAAAAAACCATATCTGGAGGTTTCAAATGAGCTGAGGGGTTCATTGAAACTTGCTAACCATACCCAATATCTTGTTTTCCTTCATAACAGCTCACAAAAAGCCTAGGTAGCTGATAGTTAGGGTTTATAATCTGAAATGCCAATCATTTTCTAAAGCAAAGGGTCAAGGCATCAAAAGGAATTAGAAATTAAGCTAAAGACCTGAGATCCTGTGTTGGTGAGACAAGAGCTTGTATCTCATGTGATTGACTGGAAAAATCCTACTTCTCACCAGTAGACCTGCCCCTTGGGTGATCCCAAAGAAAGGAGAGCAAATAACTGTACTTTTATTTAAAAAGTACTAGTGTACAGACATTTTGCCCAATTTTAACACACTCTAAACGAAAATATGAATACCTATTTTATTGTAGAAAATACACTGATGCCTCAGATATCAGACTGTAAGTTTTAAAGTGTTTCATTTGACATATGTTTGTGTGTGAACTCAACCATAAACTCAAATAATGAACACATATGCTGTGCTAACATTCCACCAGAACTGAGGTGATATAATCTTTCTTTAATTTCATTTACTGTGTTGAATGCCAGTTGCTGATGTTTGTGTAGTGGCTTTGGTGATTTTCCTGCTTTTAAATCAGATCATTCATATTCTCAATATATAGGTTTTGTCTGTTCATCTTGCTCCATAGTCCATCAAATGCTGTCTAGACAATGGAGGGAAAGGGAATTCAGTAGCTGTGTGGTCATGAAATTGATTGCTTTATTGTGGTCAAAGGAGCAATGTGATCTCTAGCTTCCTAGAGTCTCACTGGTATTTTTGTTTGATTGTTTTCTTAAATTACAGTACAATTATATATGTCGTTACACCATTTCCTCTCCTTTTCCCTACAAACACTCCTTTGCAGACCAGTGTCCCTGCCTTTAATATACTCCAGGCTTTATTGAAAGCTACCAGGTTACTGTCACATTATGTCTCCTAGCTCATATCCACCAGAGCAATCTGCACAGAATGTGTGTTTACCACCCCAGTTTTGGTTCCCTGAGGAGCAGCCTCCATCAGCTCAGGGTTTGACAGGAAGCCTACCAACCTGGCAGACCAAAAAACTTGATTTTCCTATTAAAGGTAGTAAAACTTAATTATCTAGAGCTGGTGAGGAGAGCAAAATTTAACTCTCTGAGCCTGACCTAAAAGGGAAAGGACACAACCCCCAAACACACACACACAAACACACACACAAACACACACACAAACACACACACACACACACACACACACACACACACACACACGGTCTTTCTATCAGCTTCTGCCTCCGTTCTTTATTTCTTTTCTTATTTCTATCTGTAATCTTCCCTTCTATCTCTCTTGTCTTCCTACTAACTCTCCTTCTACTTCTTTCCTGGTATTTTCATTCTCTTGTGTCTCTATTCTTTTCCTTACAGCTTACCTATCCCGGTAGACTCTTTCCATCAATAAAAAAATAACATGTGTTTACACCGTATTGTTCAAGTGAATGATTACAATGAATACAAGCAAAAAATAGCATGTTTCCCATATTTTTCAGATGATAAAAAAATAATTCCAAGAACCCACATATATCTGTATGCAAGCAATTTGTTATAGATTAACAGTGTGTATGCAAGCAAGACATTCTTTTACTGACAGGCTGTGTTTTGCAGTTAGAATGAGAGACCAATGTTTTTTATTATTTATGGAGGCAGAGGCAGAAACCCAAAGCTGTTAATCGAATTGAATTCCTGGAATCCAGTTGCAAAGAGGAGTCATGCCCAAATGAATCAAGATCAAGCTGGTGAAAACCTACAAAAGCAGCTGACCTAAACAAGGGGTTACACATGGACCCCAGACTGAGGACTGAAGGGCCAGCATGGGACCAATACAGACATCCCTCCCACAGAACCTGGGTGACAGAGAGGATGCCAGTATTTATTCCTGGCATACAGATGGACTCTGGGAACCCATAGCACGTGGAGTGATGCTCTATCAGCCTGGAGAAGAACGTAGGCCTTTCCCAGGATGATGTGACAAACTCTGAAAATCCCTCATGGAAGCCCTTACCCTCCCTAGGGAGCAGAGGGGCGATGGATTGGGGGGTGAGGGGTTGGGAGGATTGTGGGGGAGGAGGAAATGGGGAGGGAACTGAGAATTACATGTGTAAAAATTTAAATAAAAATATGAAAAAAGCAACAGGTAGAGGCAATTCTCAATATCAACAAGTGATTTATCAACCCAAAACACTGTACATTAAATAGTAAACTTTCTAAAATATGCCAATTATTTTAAGTTAATATCCTTATGCTATAAGCAACAACAGGAGAAATGTCATCATCCCATTAAGTTTTCCCCCTAGAGTGTCAGAGTTAAAACTGAAACTGAATTCTTGCCTTTGTGTCATATTTGTTTCTTTATTGTCAAGAAGCCTGTCTTGAATTTTTAACCCAGAGCATTTTTTTTGGTTTTTCGAGACATGGTTTCTCTGTACTGTTTTGGAGGATGTCCTGGAACTCGCTCTGTAGACCAGGATGGCCTCGAACTCACAGAGATCCACCAACCTCTGCCTCCCGAGTGCTAGGATTGAAGGCATGCTCTACCAATGCCCAGGTTCCCAGAGCACCTTTTAAACCCATGTGCCAATTGCATGATTAGTTGCTTGACTTTGAGAAAACAAGAACACTATATTTTATTGTCACAAAACAGAAGTCCACCCTTCAGTTCTGACTCATGACAGATCTCAATAAAATGTGTCAAACTAAAAAAAAAAAGAAATTTAGAAGAATCACGAATCTAAAATTTATATATGAAAAAGAAGCAGCTTTATTATTAAATCCTCATGGTGCATCACCACTAATTAACAGATGTATTTATATGCATATATGTTACATATTATATAAGTAAGGCAAGGGGCAAGGGCATAAATTGGTACAAGGAATTAATCATTGCCTCTGGTCACCAACCAATCCTAGCAAGGAAGGCATGTAGTCTGATAATAACTGGCTGTTGTTTTTTTGTTTCCGGGCCTTAATGAATCTCTCATTACACTATGTGCCTTTTCAAACTTCAGATTATTGCCCAAGGTTTTTCTCCTCGAAGCTGTTAACAAAAACATTTTCACCTAAACTTAAGTCATTCATAAAGCTTTGTTTCAGCGCTAATGCACTCTAAAACTTGTAAACACATCTCCCAACACAAAGACTAAAACAATTTGAGATAGCTAGGCTTCTGAATCTCATATATTTCTCTTAGGGATTCACCTAAGCCACAGTCTATAAGGCTGCTCAATAGAAACTCACATGTTCTAACTTCGTGACAGTTGTTTTTCTTATTTTCTATCCTCTGCTGGCCCCGTTTAATCAGAGGGAGCATTTCATCCTATATTTAGCTATATCACCTTTTCTATTAAATTAACTCTGTCACAAAAAAGGAGTCCACCACCTCAGCAGACAGCAGTATTCAGGGGTAGCATATGCCCATCAAGGTTGAAGTCCACACAACAGGATCAATGCTTGCAGAAAAGAGCATGTAACAAAGCAACGTCCACTGCCATGTATAATCCAGAACATGGAGAACTGGGGAAAATTAAAAATCAAATGTATCTTTTGTTTGCGTGTATAAATGAAATAGATGATACTTAATGTTTACCAAAGAGAATATCTTAATATGATATAGCAATTTCCAACTATTATCTTTATTGCCACACTATCCCAAGCACATTTACAAACAAACTAGGACCTGTCATCTCTAGGCTCCCACTACAGAGATTATTATATAGTAGGAAGATATGCAAATATGACCTCTCTTACTCATGAAAACCAGCCCAGCACTGACAGTACAGCTCAGGCAAAGGACCCCAGCCCTGGATTCCTAGGTCTTCACATTCAGGGGTCAGCACTGAACACAGTTCACATGATGGATTTGAGGCTGATTTTGGTTTTCCTTGTTGCTTTCTTAAAAGGTAATTTATGGAGAAGAATAGGCATTGAGTATGTTTGTGTAAATGAGTGATATAAATAATAACCTACTTTGGCAGTTTACTGACAAGATTTTCTCTATTTGCAGGTGTCCAGTGTGAAGTGCAGCTGGTGGAGTCTGGGGGAAGCTTAGTGCAGCCTGGAAAGTCCCTAAAACTCTCCTGTGTGGCCTCCGGATTCACCTTCAGTGATTACTGGATGAACTGCGTGCGCCAGGCTCCAGGCAAGGGGCTGGAGTGGGTTGCAGATATTAACTATGATGGCAGTACCACAAACTATATATCATCCGTGAAGGGCCGATTCACCATCTCCAGAGACAATGCCAAGAACACACTGTACTTGCAAATGAACAGTGTGAAGGCTGAAGACACAGCGACTTATTACTGTACTAGAGACACAGTGAGGGAATCTCAGTGTGAACCCAGACATAAACCTCACTGTGAGGCCTCTCATGGTCACCAGGGGTCACACAGGACACACAGAACTCAGGTTCATCCCTGGAGGTTATGCAGACATGGTTAGATGAAGCACCCCCATCAGGTGTCTGGGCTGAAATTTTTTCTTAAGATGTCTCCTGAATTCTTTCTACATACTGTTTTTTTCTTAGGGAACCAATGTCCTCAAAACATCATATGTTCTCCATGTAAGTGTGGAACCTCCCCTCTCTACTCTCCCTGAGGACTGTGCACTGCACTTCAGATGTGACCCAGCAGTGCTTTTAGCTTATAAAGTTCATTACTCCATCACCTCATCATTATTCACTATGGGATGTTTTCAAACTGAATCTTTCAGAAAAATATGTCTGTATGGAGTCACACACCTTTCAAACATACTTTATTGTCTTCTACTGGTCCCAAAGATGGATTGTGTCCCTAGTCTTTCCAGGAATTTTATCGTTAATGAGTCTTGGATTTTGTCAAAGACCTTTCCTACATCGGATGAGATGATCATGTGATTTTTGTCTTTAAGTCTGTATATGTGGTAGATTACATTTATTGATTTATACACGTTGAACAATCCCAGAATCTCAATGAAACCAACTTTGTCATGGTGAATGACCTTGATGTATTATTGGGTTAGATTTGCAAGGGTTTAATTATAATTTTTGCACCTATATGTATAAAAGAAATTACTCTGTAATTTTCATTTTAGATCTATGTATCATCTTTAGGTATCAGGTTAATTGGGACATCACACAAAGATTAGGAAGTGTTTTTGTTTCTTCACATACTGTTTTCACAAATACTGAAATCAATTCTTTGAAGATCAGGCCAAATTCTGGGTTGAATCAATCTAGCCCTGATGTTTCTTTTATTTGGTCGGTGTAGGGGCTTTTATTATCACTTCTATTTCACTAGGTTTTATAGGACACTTTGTAACATGGGTTTTCTAGCCCAGCAAGGTCCCAGTTGCCCTTCTCTGTATCAATGAAGCACACAGACACTATGATAATTAAAGATGTTCACTGGGGACTTTGGATTCTTATTCTTAACACATAGATACTAATCTATGTATTTCCACGTGGACTTGGCTTACCAGACCTGCAATTCCTTTGCCTGCTACATATAAACTTCTCAAGTCTACAGAGAGAAGAGATGAGACAGATTTCTTGTTTGTTCCTGCTTATATTTTGGTTCTTCCCAGTTATGTCACCTGTCTGGTTAGTCAGTCAATCAGTGCTTTATTAATTAACCAACAAGAGAAACAAACATACACAGAAGAACATTCCTCATCATACGTTTATGTTGCTTAACTAATCATGATTTAACTTTGGTAAGTGGTATATGCCAAGAATTTTATCCATTTCTTTTAGGTTTTCAAGTTTGTTAGACGAGAGATTTTTGATTCTTATGATTCTCTGTGTCTTCTCTGTATCAGTTGTGATGTCCCACTTTTCATCTTTAGTTTTACTAATTTGGACCTCACCACTTCATCTTTTAGTTAACTTGATGAAGGGCTCACAAAACTTATTTCATCAAAGAACCAACACTTCCTTCCTTTGCATTCTACTGATTTCAGCACTGAATTTGATTATATCTTGTCTTCTAATCCTTTGGGTGTTGTATACTACCTTTTATTGTAGAGCACACAGGTAAGCCAAGTTGCTAAAATGTAATCCCTACAAAAAGTTTTAGGCACTTAGTGCTATGAACTTGCTTCTTAGATCAGCCTTTGTTGTGACCCAAACAAGTATTGTGTGTACATTTTCCATACATTCTAAAAAGGTTTTTATTTCCTTTTAACTTTTGCCTTAGCCCATTTTCCATTCAGTAGTGAACTGTTGAATTTCTATGAGTTTGTGTACTTTCTGATGTTGTTGTTGGACTGTTCTCAACAAAGAGAAGGAACCTGGGATCACTTCTTTATGAATTTGAAGTCTTATTTGAGCCACCCAGGATTGTTTGTTGGTGTGCACTCTTATGACAACAAGTCTAGAGTCATATCTGTGTCCACAAACATGTTGTTCTGAGCAATTTCTGTTTACAGCATTGACATGACGGTTGGAAAGAATGACAGGGAATGAATATTTTTTCAAAAATTGGGCATAGCTGTGTTACCATGATATCACTGTATCATCAAGAAGGGCAGTAGAAAACCTCGTGGTTACTGAAGCAAAACAATGTCAGGTGAATTAAATTTTCTTAAATGCTATACCTAAGGGTTAGGTTGACCTCACTTTTAGCCCAGGTTGAGTCAGAAATTAGCCAGCATGTTTGGTCACTTCATTTTCTGCTTGTGTTAGGCATACTTATTCATCTGAGGTAGCATTCATCTTCCATTTCTTGATTATTTAAATATAGATATCTATTTTTCCTTTTATTATTTGATTAAAAACAAGCTTGTTTTACCTATCAATCCCAGTTCCCTCTATCTCCCCTCCACCCCTCATCCTCACTGATGCCTATCACATCTGATTTCTGATACCCAGGGAAGGTGAGGCTTTACATGGGGGAAATCTTTCAAGTCTGTCATATCATTTGGAGCAGGGCCTAGAACCTCTCCCAATTGGCTAGGCTAAAGGAGTGTCCCTATATGTGGAGAGGCCTCCAAAATCCATTCATGTACTAGCTATAAATATTGATGGAATACCAGAGGCCCCATAGATTAACCAGACCTCAAAATTGACACCCATGTTCAGGGTTTCTGGAACAGTCCTATGCTGGTTTCCCAGCTATCAGTGTGAGATCCATGAGTCCCCCTTGTTCAGGCCAGCTGTTTCTGTGGTTTTTTCCAACCTGTTCTTAACCTCTGTTCATCACTCATCCCTCTCTGCAACTGGATTACACAAATGGAACTAGAAGAAACTATTCAGAGGCAGGTAACCCAGTCACAAAAAGAAAAAAACATGATATGTACTCACTCATATATTGATTTTAGACACCACAGAGGAAGTGATTACCATTCTACAATCCATACCACCAGAGAATTTAAGAAACAAGGAGGACCCAGGGAGAAGGGAAAAGGGACTATATCTCCTGAGCTAACTTGGAGAATGGAGGGAAGGGAGAAAGAGTTAGAAGAAAGATAAGGGGAGAAGAGGAGGGTAGGGGAGGACATGAGAGGGCAGGAAGATTGAGTCAGGTGAAGAATAAAACAGAGCAAAAAAAGAGATACCATAATAGAGGGAGCCAATATAGGCTTAAAGAGAAATATGTCACTAGGGAAATGGCCAGAGATCTACAAGGTTGACCCCAACTAACAATCTAAGCAACAGTGTAGAGGCTACCCTAAATGCCCTTCTCTGATAATGAGATTGATGACCACCTTATAAGTCATGCTAGAGCCTTCATCTAATACCTGATGGAATCCGAAGCAGACACCCACAGGTAAAAACTGGGGTGAAACCTGTAATCAAGTATTGATATTTATAAATGGGTATAACATTGCATAAAATAGCAAGACAAAGAAAAATAAATATGTTTAACCCAGGTAATATTTGATATAATGAAGTAAGTCCTTTAGTCAGATCACAGCCTCTATCATTGATAGTCACTTATGGTGTCTTTGTTGCTGAGAATACTCTTATATTCCTGTGTCAGTCTGAGCTATGAAAAATATCATAGTATTATATCTATTCAACAAAATTTTACAATTAAGAAGAAATAGTCTTCCTGAATATGCACAGATATATGTGTGCTCAGAAAGTATAAACCACACAACCAATGTGATGTTGAAAGAGCCCACAGACATTCCTTATACTGAAGAATAGTGGCAGCACATGAGAAAGTTACAGACAGAAACAAATGATATCCACAGGCAGTAGCCCCACCGTCTTTGCCTAGAAAGGTTGACCCACCAGATGAAATGTTCTCTGGTGGGTAAACCTTTTGAATGTTAGTTGTCATCTCCTGTAATGGCCTCTGGCATGTGAGCATACCATTTGCTATGTGCACTGGGGCATCTCTGCAGTGGGGGTAGCTAATTGCTGGGGGCTGCATGGGCAAGGAGGATGAGCAGCCAAACTCCTGCCATCATCATCATGAGAAAACCTGGGATTTTAGGCTTTCTTTGACTTCTTCTTAACTTCAGGTCACACACACACACACACACACACACACAGACTAGGATCTTGTGGGTAGATGTCCACAGAGGCAGCATAACAGTAAACATACACATGGTCCTGGGATATATAAAGACTAGAATGGGCTGTCAGTATAATCACTGCTATAGAATCTGGATCGCAGAACTATTTTCCCACTGAGGTCCTACAGAGAAACTGTAAGGACATTGTTTATTCCTATCACATTGTGAAGTGATCTGGAATTGATAGAAACTATGGGATAGGAACATGCAGATTGTTTGACTCTCTGGGTTTCTAACTATTTCTGCAAAGATATGTACTGATAACAATCACACAGACACCGTGTCTCCTACTTTATATTTCACCAGAGCTGATTATGTTGTAAATGATGGAGATGCATCCTGGCCAATGTTGGCCATTGTTTATTTTTCCCTTAGTTCTCAAACAATGCTGAAGTAGTTCTTAAAAAACACAAAGTAAGTTACAAGAGCTTGAAACATTTTTGAGCATTTGCCCATATTTCACTGATTTTCTGCATAAACCTTATAATATATGTTACTTTGTAATAATGGATTTCATGGTAGCCACTGAATATTCACCCTCTGAAGTAATAAACTTCCAATTATATCATAAATTATTTTTCAAAATAATAGAGTGCTTATTAGGGGAAGAGATTACATTCAAGAATAAGGTCTAGAGCAAAGTGAAACTAAAATGGCAAAGATAATATATTTGCTATACAATAGTATTGTATAAATGGGACAATTAAACATTTTATCCACAACAATTTAGAATATTTTTGAGTAAAATATAGAGACATCATTTTGTGCTCGTGGCCATGTCAGAGGAGCAGGTGACAACTGGGATTCAGGAGATTGGCTCACCACAATGGAAAGATTTGATGGATGAATCTCAGACACACAAGGCCCTGAGAGCTTCAGCTTTAGAATGCCTCTTGTTACTGCTGTGCCTTTGTGTGTTTGCACTGATGATTTTCTCTGCAATATGTCATGGTGTGAATGGGTGTGGGAGCACCTCCATTTGCCTTTAATGCATTGTAATTATCTCATGGAAATTTCCCATTCTGTGGGCATGCTTGCATGTAGACTTTTATGAAGATGATTACCTCTTAAGCTGTACTGTTTTTAGCAAATGCAGTAAGGGTCAAGCTAGAGGCTAGATTTGTGTGAATATTAATATAGGTAAAGTAAGGATAAAGTGTTTCCTCCACCCCTGATGAAGAAGGTACTCCCTAAGGTAGAAAAAATAAAAACAGACAAGTGTCACACA